AGGGATCGGTTGCTGCCAGCATTACTGCTGGTTCAACGTGCAAAAAAATTTTCCACTGTGTACGTGCGCATTTGCAACTAAAAAGGTCTGCGCATGCGCAAAACATTAGAAAAGGGGGAAAAGTAACATTTCTGCAGTGAAAATTGTTCTGTGTATGCGCAGAACCGAAAACCAAGATGGCACCACTGTAGGAGAACCGGTTTGGGGGCACTGCCGGTTCCAGCAACCCAGTAGTAACCAAGTTACTACCGGTTCAACCAAACTGTTCCAAACCAGTAGGAACCCACCTCTGCCCTTATCAGAGGTGGTAATCAGCAGGTTCTAACCAGTTCTGGACAACCGGTAGTGGAAATTTTGAGTAGTTCAGAGAATTACCACCTCTGGCTGGCCCCGCCCCATCTATTCTCCGCCTCCCGAGTCCCATCTGATTGGGAGGAAATGGGGATTTTGCAGTATCCTTCCCCTGGAGTGGTAAGGGAATGGAGATTTTGCAGAATCGTTCCCCTGGAGTGAGGTGGGAATGGAGATTTTGCAGTATCCTTCCCCTGGAGTGGTGAGGGAATGGAGATTTTGCAGAATCCTTCCCCTGGAGTGTGGTGAGAATGTGGATTTTGCACTATCCTTCCCCTGGAGTGGGGAGGAAATGGGGTTTTTACAGTATCCTTCCCCTGGAATGAGATGGGAGATTTTGCAGTATCCTTCCCCTGGAGTGGGGAGGGAATGCGGATTTTGCAGTATCCTTCCCCTGGAGTGGGGAGGAAATGGGGATTTTACAGGATCCTTTCCCTGGAGTGGAGAGAGAATGGAGATTTTGCAGTATCCTAAGTCATGCCACGCCCACCAAGCCATGACCTCAGAACTGGTAGTAAAAAAAAACTTTGAATCCTACCACTGCCCCTTATTGTATACAACCCAAGTGCTAGGAAACCCATGGTATGCCCACCTGATAAACCCTCAATCCTGGGGATCAGCTTCATGGCATGGCCATTGACAGAGTCCTGCTTTAAGGATACTTGAAGGTTCCTGGCTGCCCTTGTTTGTGGCCTTAGGCAAGAAGGAACACAAAAGTATTTCCAGTTGGTTCTTGTCTTCGTCTTTGCTTTCTTCTTCTTCTTTGCCTTCTTCTGGTCCTTCGGCTTTGGTGGTTTATGATCTTCTGGAGAAATTTCTGGGAGGGTCACTTCTTCTTCCTTGGCCAGAGTGTCAGCTGGCACAACCTCTCTCCTTTCCTCCTGGACTCCGGATTCTCTTTCCAATAATTGCCCATATTTGCTCGCAGACAGTCGACGCTGTGCGTAGGCCATCAGAACTCTGAATTCTACGCTGGTTCCGTCTGCATCCTCCAGATTGATTTCTTCCATGTTGGCCAAGCTGTTCCTATATTCGTTGTTCATCGTGCAGGTTCTATCGGGTCCTTCCATTCTGAAGCAAAAGAAGAAAACCTACGTCACTTCTAAGTTTTTAACATTTTCCCTTCTTTTCTACCGTTTTATTTTAATTCTCAACTGAGGAATAATCATCATCATTGTTTAATGGTCTTGCGNAATGCTGTATTCAGTGTATAAGACGCACCCAGATTTTCACCCTCTTTTTTTGAGGGGAAAAAGGTGCGTCTTATACTCCGAAAAATACGGTACGTACAATAGAAAAGGACATGCTGAGGAATTTGGCCTCCCTGGCTAGATTAATGTACGTTCTGTTTCTCATTTTCACCTTCTAAATTTAGTCAAGAAACATTTGGAAGGCAGCAGTGGTGGGATGTCGAGTGCCAGCAGCTTCATGGAAGATGTGGCCCTCACAGCTGAAGAGGTGCTTCTGCCTGCGGTAACAGATGTCTCACAGTGAGTCCAATTGTTATATTTTCTTCTTAGGACGGTTTAATCAGTTTAATGTGGACGTTTTTATCTGCATGCAAAGCTGGATGGCGAGCCTCGGGGGCCCACGTTGCTTGTGAGTAAATGTCTTGGGTGGGCAACCTTTGCAAGAGGGAGGATCTTCGGAATGTTGGCAGCATGTCAACATGTAGATGCATTCACTAGATTGCTTGCACGGGAAGGAGAAATCTTTGCCCGTTCACTAAATAGTTGCCATGTTGGGCAGAAAGTTAAAGCCTCCGAGTCAATCTCACTTCTTGGTTCATCATTGTCTTTTAATGACCCTGCGGGGTAGAGTCTGGACAACTTGAATGGAACTGAGTTTTTACTGGCCAGATGCTTTTCCTGTCACCAATGCAGAGTTATATTCAGCAGATATATTCCCAACGTGCCCAGAGAGAGAGAAATATCCACCTCTTCCTAGGATCGAACTCACAGCCTCCTGATTGTGAGCAGAGAGCTCAGGCCATTTTCATGCCATTTTCTGGGCCATTTTCCGGCCATTTAGGCCGTTTTCAGGCTATTTTCAGGCTGTTTTCAAGCTATTTTCAAGACATTTTCTGGGCCGTTTTCAGGCCATTTTCAGGCCGATTTTTGGGCCATTTTCAGGCCATTTAAGCCATTTTCAGGCCATTTTCAGGCCGNGGATCCACCTGCCCGCCCGCGTTTCTTACCCGGTTTTGACGAGTTATGCGATTCCTCTCAAGTGCAGGACGCATACAGCGCCTTCGCGATCCTCCAGGAGCAGCTGGAGCATCGCACAGGCGCTAGTACGCATGCGTGCACTGTGCGCGTGCACGAGGACGCCGCCGGCCCCGTTCCAACCGAACTGGTTGGAACGGGGCGAGAAACCCACCCCTGCATCACATCCTTTAAGCTTGCCTATCTATTCCCAATTCTGCCAACCTAGCAGTTCAAAAACAAGTAAAAATGAATATAGAAAAAACAGGAACCACCTTTGGTGGGAAGGTAACAGCGTTCCGTGCGCCTTCGGCATTTAGTCATGCTGGCCACAAGACCATGGAGACGTCTTCAGACACCGCTGGCTCTCCGGCTTTCTAACGGAGATGAGCACCGCCCCCTAGAGTTGGGAATGACTAGCACATATGTGCGAGGGGAACTTTTTTACCTTTATCTGTTCCAAATAGAGACGTACAAAAATTTCTTTTCTCAAAAGCAGTGGGAGAAGAGGATTTGGGGGGAATTAAACCTATTTTCACCCAAATACGATATTTTTTTCAACTCTCCCCTCTTCTCCCCATTTATTTATTATTTATTAAAAAGGGAAATCCTATTATGAATCTCATGCTGTCGCAGTTAAAGTGACAGCGAGGAGCCATCTCCAGCTGTGAGGGATTAGACAGCGTAGGAGCACATAGAAGCTTCCACGGTTGCCTTCTTCTAGAACACACGGCTTGGTTCGACTTGTGCTGCGTCAAAATGTGATTTGTTTGCTTCGGGCTTAGTGTGATGTGTGAAGCCAGCCATTAAGGGTAGCTTTTATGTGCAAATCAAGCCCCTTCGCCTTTTTCTGATCTTTCACAGGTTAGTAAATCCTGGCTAAAAATTAAATAGAAACCAAACTTTGGGGGTTTTACTCATTAATATAGGGGACACGGTGGCTCAGTGGCTAAGATGCTGACCTTGTCAATCAGAAAGGTCGGCAGTTCGGCGGTTCCAATCCCCAGCACCGTATAAACGAGCGAGCTCCCATTACTTGTCCCAGCTTCTGCCAACCTAGCAGTTCAAAAGCAGTAAAAATGCAAGTAGAAAAATAGGAAGGAAGGGTGGGAAGTAACAGCGTTCCATGCACCTTTGGCATTTAGTCATGCCGGCCACATGATCATGAAGACGTCTTTGGACAGTGCTGGCTCTTTGGCTTTGAAACAGAGATGAGCACCATCTCCTAGAGTCAGGAACGACTAGCACATATGTGCGAGGGGGGACTTTCACCTTTACATTTAGTCATTAATATTCACACTGACTGATAGGAAGCCTACAGAGTCACAGGCAGCATTTTCCCCCTTTACTTTCTACCTGATTTTTCCAACTTGAGATGTTGGGAATTTAACTTCTTGGAGGTCATGTGTGCCTTCTGTCCCAATGCCAGGATCTTGTTTGAAAGGGAGAACCTCAAATCTGTGCCATGGAAGCTAAGAAGACTGTCTGGCCTTGAGAGAAGTGAAATTCTCTCAGCCGACTGCTTCTGAATTAAAGCAGCCAACCTCAAAGAAGTTCCCACCCACCTCCCAGATCGCTTTCACAAAACTTTGTGAACTCTGCCTCCGTGGGCGTGATTTTTTTTTCCTTTTAAGTGTTTTACAAAAATGTCACACGGCTTCACCTGTCAGTATGCCAGAATCC